GCAGGAGTGGAATTGTTCAACTGGAGTGAGTACTTTGGACAGCATAGTGTGACATTTTAAATCAAACCACAAAGCATACACTGTATTATAGAGTGCTTAAAAGTATTTTCCAGCCACAATCATCTTTTTTTTTCTTAGAATTGTTTCATCTGTTAATGTATTATGGAAATGGTGCTTTACCAAACTCAAAAGTTCAGAAATTTGGCTGTATTATAACTTATCAATCAACACTTTGGGTCCAACTACACAATAGTAAATTAGAAAACTTTCAGTAAACCCCCCATTTTACTTTAAAACAAATGTTCAGACATTAAACCAAATGCCCATGTTCAAACCAGATACAATGCCCTGCACAAATATTGGCACCCCTGGTAATCTTGAGCAAAATAAGCTGTAAAAAATATTTTTGATCTTTCATTCAAAACATTTGCAAAAATCTAAGTTTTATTAAAGTTATTGATTAAGTTCATTATTGAAAGAAAAAGCTAAATCCTGTCATGAAATAAATATTGTTCTTATATCTATGTGTGCCACAATTGTTGGCACCCCTAGAAATTCTTAAGAGTTAAATCTAACTGAAGTATACTTCCAAACATATTTTATGTGATTAGGAGTGATTAGGAACACTTCAATGGTCAGCCACGACTTCCTGTTTTAATGGGGAATATATATGAGATGAAACACAGGCCAAATTCACTCAGTCATCCATCACTATGAGTAAAGACCAGAGAAAACAGCAATAATGCACAACAAAAGGTTGTTGAGCTGCATAAATCAGGAAATGGCTACAAGAAAAGCTAAACAGATGAAAAGGCCCATTTCAACTATCGGGCAAATAATTAAGAAGTTTAAAACAAATGGAGATGTTAAGAATCTGCCAGGAAGAGGGCATATGTCTATACTGACCCCACACACAATGAAGAGGATGGTTCAAATGGTCAAAAAAAACAACCTTTTTTCAAGTAATAAAGAGTGTTTTTTAAAGTGTGTGTTGCTCATGTTTACCAGGGGTGCCAATATTTGTGGAGGGCACCTAATAGTTACTCCTGGTAAGCCACAGTCTAAAACACCAGTAATTTCATTACAATCTGTAAGATATTGCTTAGAAAACTTGAATACAAAGTGTCAAATATGTAAAATATGTGAAATACCTCAAAAATATTGTTTCTTATAGAGAAAATGTCAAATATTACAGTTACATTGTAAATTTGTCAACAATTAAAAAACGTACTAAAAGTGTGGAATGACACAGGAAGAGTTTAAAACCTGCCACATTCTTGACTATCCAAAGGAAAAAATCTAACAAACCTTGTGCAATCTCATGCTCTCCAGGCTGTCATCCAAAAGAGACCTAAATACTAAATACTGACCTAAATAAAATACTAAATACTGACCTACATAAAAGAAAGTGACACTAATATTTTATCCTACTAATGTTTTATTTTTACTTATGTTTTCAAATAATTACTGGGATCAATTTGAGTTTCAGATAGTAAACCTGGTCGTTTTTGTTGGTTCTCATCCATTTTCTGAGGTATACAAAAGAATAAGTGATAACTTTAGCTTGGAAAGTAATACATAAATTGTATTCAAAGAGTGTCCCAAGACTAATTTGAAGCACTGTATATGAACTGATAGCTAATATGAACTGATAACTAACATTATATATGCTTTTTTTTACCAGGCTGAATCAGTGTGGCTTGACTGGAGAATGTTGTGATGCGCTGGCCTCTACTCTCAGCAAAAAGGCTTCATGTCTGAGGGAACTGAACCTGGGAGGAAATAACCTGCAGGATTCAGGAGTGGAGATTCTTTGTGCTGGATTAGAGAATCCACACTGCAAACTGGAGATTCTGAGGTGGTACATTTAATTGTAATATAATGATATATATAATGGATTGTGTTTTGGTAAAGGAGAGCAAATATTGGTGCAACTAACAGTTGTTAGTAGTGTGCTTCTCTTGAAACTAAAATAATTATATAAATATATAAAATAATAATAGTAGACTCAGTTATTATTGTAAACATGATCAATGGAATACTCCAACAGTTTTCAGCATAATCTATATTTGCCATATCTTTAGCATATGGTCATTTACCATGGACTTTAATTTTCATACAGAACTTTCAAAACTTTTCAGAGTTACTGTAGTTGTTAAACATTGGCTTATGTTTAAAATCAGCAGGTTTTCTATCCATTAGTAATTACAGGAAAATGATCAGCCATGTCCTAAAGACACAGCAGATAGAGATTAGGTTGAAAAGCACTGGAGATTTCCTTTAATTACAATGTACATTTATGAAGCCACTACTTTTCCTTGTAGACTGTTCAACTGCGGGGTCACGGAGAAATGCTGCACAATTTTAGCATCAGCTTTAAAAGGCAAACACACAGTCCTGATAGAACTGGACCTTAGAGAAAACAACCTTAAAGACACCGACGTAAGGCAGATTTCTGCCTTACTGGAAAATCCAGATTACAAACTAGAGAAAATTAAGTAAGTTGGTGTTTCCAATAAACAGCCTTAATCATAGTCTTTCCTCCTAACAAGTAATGAACTGCTATTGCTTTTAAATTTGACTTGTCTTTTTTCAGTGATCGTGTACTGTTCACTAATACATATTCTCTTCTTCCAGCTTGTACTGAACCCCCCACCACATACATGTGCACACAAAAAAGCATGAGCTGGGGACCCTGAGGAGCAGAAACATGAACCACAATCCTTCTTCTATTGTTCTTATTTATTGAACATATTTAATATTATTGCTATTCTATATATTTATGTTTAGGGCTATTGTCATAGTATCTATGCAGCCCAGATGTCTTAACTTTAATCTTACAGATTAGACTGTGTAAAAAAACATCAGCCACATTAATTATGAATTACATGGCTCATATCCTACATTTATTTAATATTTTTCTGGAGCTCCACTTAGAACATTTGCATAGTTTTATGTACCAAAACAGTCATAAAAAATTGTTACATGACCATTTTTCCAAACTCTTTTTAGAATTAAATCAGACTGTTTTGTTACGCTGCTTTTAAGACTGATTTCTGATTGGCTGCTCTCATTCAAAAAGCAGTCCTAGCAGAAACACTCCTTAAAACTTCAGCGTGAATGGGCGTGGCTAAACTGCTATAGAATAGGCAGATAAATTGTTGATTTTCATGACAGCATAAAAGCAATGAATTCAAAATGGGCTGCTTTTGGAGCAAAGTTTTCATATTTGAACTGTATGGACTGGACAGTGAACGGTACACAAACTTTAACAGTGTTTAAATATTATGTCAAACTTTAATATCGAAAAGTGAGGAAAACTACGTACTTAATGATATGGGCCCTTTAAGTCAACATGTTTTGAACAGTACAGTTAGCTAGGACGAAGTCTAACGCAAGAGGCCTAATATACATAATACCAGCTAGAATCATGTAGGTCAATAACTGCAGATATTATGTTACAGACACACATACTAATTTAAGGAATTAATGAGATGTGCTATTACATTGTTGCTAAATGTAAAGATACCATGTACACTCAAAAAATGAACCACTGGGGTTGTTTAACTTATAAACTAAAATTATGTCAACATTAAATAAGTGAATTGTTTTGTCTTTAAGTAACTGGTTTACATAAAATGGACAAAAGTTTAAATGAAAGCACATTTCAATGAATAAAAACTGTTTACTTTAACCCAAAGGGAATTCTACTTCAATGAAACCCAAATAAATTTCACTAAAATATTTAAATTTCGTTCCATCAACACTTGAACTTTATATTGAGGTAACAAAGTCTTTGTAGACTGACTCTATATGATTGTGTGGCATAATCGAATGATCTTTATAAACAATTTATTTTTTGAGTGTATTTGGTATGTAGTGTATTTAATAAATACATGAAGTATTAGTACAATACAAATAAAGACAAAAAGCACTGACTGTTGTGTACTTCTTTTTATACCAGCTTTAAACTAGTTAAATGTTCTAAGATATTTGTTCTCTTATGTCTGACATGACGTCAGCCGTTAACCTTCTAAACTCCATGGAACCACCGGTGGTTCCAAAACGCACTGTGTCATATTCTTCATAACTTTCATATTTCATAAGCTACATTTAAAAAGTGGGTGTCGTATGAGAGCTATAACTGTCTTCTGTCCAGTCAAATAGATGGGTAATGTAATTTTTAAACTTTACAATAAAAGTAGCTGAACTCATACATTTTTTTGTCTACTGATATTTTTCCATAAATCTGGGCTATAAACTATAAACAGACAGTGTCTCTTCAGTGATCTGCTCTGTAAAAATTATTTTTAGAAAAAAATACAAAAAGTGGCTTTCAGCAGTAAATTGTAAGCATATAGCTATATGTGTATGATCACAAAACACATTTTCTGTTAATTTGAGGGGAACTTTTACAAAAAATAAATAAATAAAAATTTACATTTCAGGCAGTTACTGAATAATTTGCCTTAAGATTTGGTCCTGTAAATTCAGACAGAAAAACCAAAATACACCCACGAGCATAAGAGGTTAAAGAAATAGTATGGCCTACTGTAGGGCTGTTTGAAATTATATAATTCTATAATTCTGGTAAACTTTTAGTAATTCTAGTAAATCAGCACATCATTATGATTAATTTCCATCATTTAAATCAAATGCATGAGGCAAACATTCAAGAGAAACTTTCTGCATAACTGAATTGTTGAGAGGTAAAGTCTTTCAGAGTGAGCTGATGTGAAATTCATTTTAGAGAAACTTACTGACTCAGCTTTCACTACAGTGCTGTTGATAGGAACCAGAGATCACAATATCTTCAGCACAAAATATTGCCATCATTATTTACTATCAAAAACGACCAATCAACTTTTTCTTTTAAATATGTTTAGTTTAAATATGTAATGTTCATGACGGTAAAGCAGTGGTACACCTGACAAAGTTTTTCTTAGGGGACTATTTTGCCTCACAACACCCTGCATGTATCTCTGTGCCAGGAATGTATTTTTGTTTTTTAAATCACTTTAGGCCAAAACCTTATCTGAAAGTGATTGCAAAAGAACAGCGAACAATTCTGAATCCATATGTTTCTCTAGAAAATAAAGTTTCACAGAAAACTCTAATTTCTCTTTCTAAAGAATTCTGATGAATCTTAAAATCCTGATGATTTCATCATACAGAAATTTCTTTAGGAAAATCTGTAGAAATCCCCTTTCAGTGGTGCTCTGGTCTTCCAGAGCTGGAGTTGTATAGTAATTTCGAGTAAACCCTAAAATATCCTTTACATGTACTTTATTAGAAACAACCTTTTTTAGAGACAGAATAAACTCTGCCACTTAAAATAAATCAATACACACGTATGTACACAGCTGATCAAAGCAACAGTAAAACAGAAATTGTCACAAATACATAGACAAACTGAAGCACAACAGACAGAAAGAACACCTGAGGTGTTACACAGTGAATGGATATTTCCAAATCCATCAAAACCATCACAGTATTTTAGTGCTGGATATTACAACGACTTTACACTTATTATGAAGATGGGTGATTATCATTTAAACTGAGCAGATTTGCAGTACACTGTAGCTGCTCTGTATCTTGTACGGTCATTAAACTGTTTGGTTCAGGTCATTCTATATGCTGTATGGCCCTGGGGACATTTCATTACTCAGTTAGCCTCTCTCCTTTGGCTTTACTTGTCTGGCTAACTTACAAATCCTGCCTTAAATACTTCCAGTTGTGGTTCAGATATTTACATACAAAAGCCCCCAGTCTTCACCAGTAGAAGGTTTTAGTGAGAAAGCTGGCAGCTGTGTTTAACCAGCTTCCACTCGAGTCCTGTTTGGCAGTAGTGCGAGACACAGCGCGATCTGTCTCCTTTTCAGGACTCTCATCTTCTGGCAGGTAATCTGGCAGGTGGGAATTCTCCTCTACCTTCATGCCTGTAGTGCCGAGAGGGATGAGAACCTGTAGCCAGAGACAGCAGCATCAAAGAAGGTCAGTAATTGTTCAGATGAATGCAGTACCGTCTTGCAGGTCAGACTTTTGACAAACGGCAGAAAGTGTGGTAGGTTTCCACCAATGTCATCAAGAAATGCCTCCTTTGAGGAGGGCCTTATTAGCCATGTCTACATGCAGCCGGATATTCCATTAATAATCCAACTAACAGCTCAATCAGAAGCGAAGTTTATGCTTTGAACTTTAAAAGACGCCGTCCAGTTTATGTGTCTCAGAACACAATGTCTTCCTCTTGCCCTTCTTTAATATGTACATGTAAAGTACGTTTTCCTGAATCTGCCATAATTTTAAGGAAATTAAAAACACAAGCGCGACAGCTGTAAACTCAGCCAAACACATTGCTGCTCGACTCACTCTGACTGGACTCACGTGATGCTCGTGGTCATGGTGATGTCTACACTAAGCGGTACTCTACACGTGCATAATTTTGGATTGAATTACTTGTGTGCATTTAAACTAGGGGTGCAACAATTATTTGACTTAGTCGACTAAAATCGACGACCAAATTAGTTGGCAACTAATTTAGTAGTCGATGAGTTGATGACGTCATTACGCGTCTTTCCCGCGCTCACTAGGAACGTTTTGACATTACTGTTTACTGGTTAACAACAGCGCGATGGCAGCCTCAACAACAAAATCCTCAAAAGTGTGGGGCTAAAGTCAGAAAAAAGGTTGCCAGATGTGCTATTTGTAAAGCCGACCTTAGCTGGCACGTGAGCACATCCTCCATGCAGGAGCATCTGAAGAGGAACCTTGTCGGCTCACTGGATTAACAAGATACATCTCGGTAAAATACGCCGCGTCCCAAATCGCATACAAGCACACTAAATAGTGTCGAAAAATAGCGCATATATCATTAGAAGTGCACTCATTAGTGCAGTGTGTGAAGTAGTTCTGAAGTACAGAAGCGTGTGGTTTGGGACGCGGCGATAGTTAGTTGCGCTAGCGGGCTAGTTAGCTAATGTTATTGTTAAATTCCGTCCTCCTTCATGTTGTGAGCTGAACTGTAACATTTTCTATTTCGAAATGCTGCTCTCTGGTATCGTTAATGGAGTTGGGACAGAGAAGCAAGTAACTATTATTCACAGCGACCCTGTTCACTTTCCAGATAACGTTTACAGTTTCAACACTGCATCGTCATTTTAGCGTCGAGGCCACCGGTGCGTTCAGATTCGGCGAACACAGGAGAGCTACTGTAAACGGTTTTCTGTTCTCCGCGAACGTTTAGATCCACTCGCTAACAGTTTAAGGAGGTAGTCCTCCGTGAACACACAGGGTAGCTAGACAAAGGGTTACTGCTGAAATGGTGCGTTTACACAAAATCGTTCAAATTTAACTGTTCATAGAGAACAAGTTTGCCACAAACATTCTCCACTTTCCCATCCGCTTCATCAGAGCGCATCTCCTCTGCAGCGGGGAGTATCTGCTCTCAGAGGAGATCAGGCCTCTCACAGGAGCACGGAGAGATACTGACTTTCCTCCGTTTCAATAAAGACCTGTGATTGTAAAATTTAGTTGCAGCAAAGTGTAGACAGACAGCAGAATGCACAGAGCACAGACTGCACTGTTTAAATTTAACATTTAGATTGATTTTTGTTATTTACTTGATTAAAGGAAGACTGGTTTAGTTTTGTGATTTTATTGCTGCTACTTTGCACATCCTTGGTTTTAAATTTTGACAGGAAAACATTGGAGGTTTTTTTTTTTTATCTTTTGTATTAGCAGGAAAGTTCATTAAAACTGAATGGTATTCATCTTTATTCTCTTCATTGTTAGTTAGCAAATGCATAAAACAACGTCAAGCTAAATTTAAAAGCTAACAGATGCATAAAAGTTATTCGGTAATGTAGTGATTCATAATCCGAATAATCGATTATTCGTTTCAGTAATCGACAGATTATTCAACTATCAAATTAGTTGTTTGTTGCAGCCCTAATTTAAACTGAGATTTTTCATTAGACTGTTCAGAACAGTGAGCATATAAACACCTCAGGTTTAATCTGTAATTGGAATGTATTCAATGAGATTGGGAAAAATCTTTGTAAACTTTGTTCTTATTTTGATATTTTTTAAATTTTAATTCAGTGAAAATATCTTCAAATCATTTTAAGCCCCAAAAGCACTGTGACGCTGTATCAGGAAGGCAAAACACACAAAAATTTGATCCCTTACCTCCTCACCACTCTCATTCTTTACCACCTGCTGGACTGAAAGCACTTTGGTGGCAGCAATGGCTGAGGCCAGACTCTGAAGAGGACAGATTATAGACTTAACTGTTTAATTAAACTTATATCAGTTTGTACAGCAACAATAAAATAATAAAACTGATCAACCATTTCACTCAATAACTGACTATGAGAAATAAGTAAGTCTTAAACTATCAAAAGCCATGGTTAAATCTAGAGGTCAACTGAACAGATACTGTACCTCAGTGGGCAGATCTGCACGCACACGCACTGTGCATCTCTTCAGAGCCATCTGAAATGTGAAGCTGATCACTCCTTTAACTTTCAAAAGGGCCTCCTCACACACTCCTCGCTGGTCCTGCAAAATTGATAAATAACAAAAAACAATTAGACAAGTTTGTGTAATTTCAGAATTTAACATCCAAATATGCAACTCATTTTTAATTTACACAATACAATAAAATTTGATATAAACATAAATAAATACATGAAAATATGGTGTTTTTACATGAACCATAAGTGTTATATACACACTTACAGTCCCATCCAAACCCTGTATGTGCAGAGTGACTGATTTGGCCTTTTTATTGGAACTGTTGATGAAGAACTGATGTTTATTCCTCCTCTTTGTCTGCTCCGGAGTTCTGTATGTGTCTAGAGTGCTCAACACTTCATGTACCTCTTTAGCAAGATCTGTTATGTCACCATTCAGCCCACTACTGCATGAAAAAATTAGGAGAGCATCATCAATTACTGCAGAATTCACAGAAATGTCTGCCAGTTAAACAGCAACAGAACTCACTTTTCCTTCAGTGCCTCCAGGGTCACCATCATGCCAAGCTCGTTCTTCATAGTGTTAATGTTTTGAGTTGATTCTGCCAGGTACCTTAGGGTCTAAATAGGGATATGGTACATAAAAGTGATAACATTTTTTTTTCATACTACCAAACAGTAATACACCTGTTCTTTAACTGATTATTCAGTCTCTGTTCTTGACTACAAAAAATGTGATTATTGTAGTTCATGCAGACTGATTTTACAAAATAAGCAGTACAAAGGTTTAGTAAACTCAACATCTTCCTTTCTAAGACAAATGTTTTTATGTGATTGTTTTAAGCACTTTTAATGGAATTATTTCCCCTTCATTCACCTGTTTGATCCATGTGTGCAAAAAAAAGCAAACTTTAATTGAATCATAACTTAAACTTCCTTGACATATAGAATGAGGTGGGAGCATTTTAACATTGCAGCTAAGTTAAAGATCACGCCTAGGAATCGGTTGGGCTACTGGTATAATATCACTTTCAGCTGACACACAGTATAAAAGCTAAAGCGGCAGTGTTACAATAGTGTCTCCTTCACTTTCTGAAAAAAAAAAAATCCAAACTTGATCCCTTAAAACATGAACTTAAACTCTGTGGTGATATGACATATATGACAAATGGAGGAGGACGTCAAGCAGACTATACCTGCAGACTGGTGAAAACTACTTGAGGATCTTTGTGGTCCAGGAACAGCACAAGCCCTGGCAAGCAGCCCTGGTCCTGTACTATAGCCTCCCGATTCTGAGGCTCGGATGCCAGGTCCCTCAGCTGAGACACTACTGACAGCGCATCCATCATCCTACTGGATCTCTGCTGGTCAAGAAAAATGTCAGAATCAGAGAAGCTACTTTGGAACAAGATAAGTATTACTTGATTCAAATGGTCACATTTATAAACCTGGTTGGACCTAGCAGCCAACTTTTATGATGACATTAGTATCATACCAGTATAAGCAGATATTTGCTTTAAAGAAAAATATGAGACAGATGTTTAAATGTGACCTACATTTCAAACCAATATTTAATGATTTATTGCCCCATAATGACAATATTTGTATTAAATGAACTCCAGAAGAACAGAACCATTAGGCAATGCAGAGCTGCTGTGCTACAGTGTCTGCATTTTATTGTCTTTGTAATCCTGAGGGGTTAACTTAAATTACTCTGTAATGCCAATCCAGACAGATGTGAGTCCAAATTTATACATTTTATGAATATTTATATTTTGGCAGGTATATATACACACATATATATATATATATATATATATATATATATATATATATATATATATGTGCACATAAA